ATTATTGAGGCGTAAGTTTTGGGCTTCGGTTGACGCTTGAGTTTTTGCACGGTTTCCGACATTTATTGATTTCGCGCAGCATTTCATGAAAAAAAATCAGGGTAGGTTAATTGATTATATCTTGGCAAAAAAAAAAATTCTTGATAAATTCTTGTCTCACGCATTTTTTAAACCTTTTTCCACACACTTCATATTTCTACCACGGATAATGAATGTAAAATAAAATCACCCAGCAGTGTATCCCTCATTAACCTCTCATCCATGCTTAATTTTTGAGTTGAATGCCTTTCAAATTTTCTGCAAAGTTCCAATGCAATAAAATATTCCAAGAAATTTTCCCAAACTTTCTGCAGTGATGTCCCAGAATACTTGGGTTTTCCTAGAGGCATGAAAAGTCTAGAAAACTTGAATTTCTACTTCGAATTTTAAAAAAATTACTGCCAAAATTTGCATATATTCATGTAATTTAGTGATGATTGGTTTGAGAAGACTTGTAATTATTTGGCAAGTATAATAATCGATTATTGGGATGCCTTGTGGCGATCATTGCCAGATTCCACTAGAAAGTTCTTTGATAAATTCTCAAATCAATTGCTTGAGAAACGAAGGTCGAATGAAAATCATGAAACAACAAACAACAACGCAGAACTATAGAAACCAAGAAATATTCGAAGCAATTGAGATCAGGAAAATTTTGTCTCCAGCTGTTGAAAAAATCAAGTTGGCAGCCTTGTTAACCACGAAGAAAATCTTTGTTAATCTTCTGGGGGAAAAAAATTCGTTACGTGAGGTGCCCATTTTTCGACGTTTTAATGTGCTAAACATTTTTCAAGAGGGCTTAAAAATGATTTCAGAACATAGATGTGTCAAATCGAATTCGTAATGACTTTTCTGAAATATCTTGAATACTGTACATTTTTGATGGAAATTTTTTTTAGGTCCAGTTTCGTTGGCAATTCGAGATCCGTTCTTTTCGTCCTCACTGGCGGCCTTCTACCCGGAAAACTGTCATCCAGTATCTCTGACTCTGTGCTGGCAGATTTGGGTTTGATTCCGGACGTGGTTCGAGTCTGTTTGACGTCTGTGGATTCCGTTTTGGCAAAGAATCCCGGCGAAACCTTCTTCCGTGTCCAAGTGACCATTCGTGAGCCTGTGATAGAAGTGGCGGATGATTTGAGAATCTTGCAATTCGATGGAGCTACGGATGATCATTACGAGCAACGACGAGTTGTGCAATTTACGCCTGGTTCGGGTGTTCAAGCGTTGCAGTCGAACAACGTGATGTTCATTGATATGGTTGGTTGTATGGCTCAGCAGTCGACGAACATGATACAAACTGTTGAACAGGTTCGGAAACGATGTCATTATACTTTAGTGTAGAGTAAAATGGGGGAAAATAGGGCCCGATTTTAGAATGGTAACCTGAAGGTTTCGGAGATTCATGACTTATTTGACGAGGATGCGCATTTCGTGTTTTATAATTCAATAATTGAGTCTGAATTTAAGTTAATTTTGCTGGTTTTCTTTTATCTCCCGCAGAGATTTGTGTAAAGTTCAACTTTCACTACGATGTTTAACTTTCACTCGATTAAACGTGTGAATTCATGAAGAACGAAAATTGTATAAATGCCTTATCAATATTTTGTTGGTTATTTTGGTAGTAGGTCAACATGTGTTGCAAAAACTCTACCGTAAAAATTTGAGGCGAATTTCGGCTCAAGGAAAGGTTCAGTTCAAGTACTTTGACGATGACCTGAAGTGTTCCTGAAAATTTTGGCAGTACCTGTCTTCGGAACGCATTNGTTCAGCCGACGATTGCACCTGCTCCGATTGCCAAACCGCATTATAAAACAGTCCAGGGAACGGATGGGAATCTGTATTTGGTGACCGAGTTCTATGTGGAAATGCCTCAATCGGTCACTTACCAGGTCCGTTTTATCATTTGAATTTGACAGTATATTACGTCGCCAGGTTTGAATCATTATATCAAGAAAATCTAAATTCAACAATCACAAAATTGACGATAAACAAATTTTCGGGTTGTTGGATAAATTGTAATTTCAAGCCTAGTACTGTATAAAAGGTGTTTTTAAATGGGCTGATTTTTTAGTGTTACAGAAGTATTGTACAATATAATACAGGTTCACTATCTTTACAACGATAATTCATGGGGACCAGAAAAAAATCGTATGGAGAATTTTGTTGAAGAGAACCCTATGGAACCAAAAAATCGGTTTACAGAGAATGTTGTAGGAAGAGTCCACCTTTAGCAAAATCTCCTACAAGTCAAAATCATAAGAGGTCCAAAAAATCTTTTGGTGTGGGAATTTGAAATTATGGGAATCAATCAGCATTTTATGTGCTTTTTCTAAAATTTTAAATTTTATTTTTCCTTGTATAGAGAATTTCGTTACAGAGAACCAATATAACATGGGGAGGGGAGAGAACCCTATTTTGTCCCATAAAGGGTCCTCTACATTAAAATTTTCCTTACAACGAATTTTTTGTCCCCTGAAGTTCCTTGTAGAAAGAGTCGCCCTTCAATATTACAGTTTAACCTCTTCATTTCGAATTTCATCAGACAAGTAAACAAATGTAAGAGAGAATTTTCGAGTTGGGAACATCTGCATTTTTGCCGCAAATGAGAGAAGGAAGTGAAAAGTGAGAAATTGTTTTGCCCCAAAGCTGTTGCGTGAAAAATAAATCAGGATGCCGAAATTGGTGGCAAGAGTTCATTTTCCCAATTAGTCTTTCACTTCTTTTCATTAAGTTCAGCTTTTATTGCTTTTCTCTTCCCTAATGGGGGTCACAAAAATAATTTCAAGAAGGCCTCCATAAAATTTCAGATCTAGAGGTTTGAGGGGAAAAACCTTTGAGTTGGAGAGGTTTTTAATGCCTTGTTTCTAAGAAAATTCAGACGGGTTCTTGGGGGGAAAAAAACCTACTTTCGTTATCATGGTAAAACTATATCATTCACCTTTTTTTTTATTAGGTTGTCAATGTACCGCAGTCAGCACCAGTGACACCAATGTACCTGCCGACGCATAACACCTTTCAGCATGTTCCAATGGTACCGCCTATGCCCATCGTTGTCCAAGCACCGGTTCCTGCCGAAATTCCCCAGCCACCAACGATTGCCTCTGATCCAGTTTTATCGACTCAAGCCGAGTCGAAGGACGAAATGTCGACAACGAATGATGAAATTCCCGCTGATGAGTGGATTATTTCTACGAACGACGAACCTTTTCTTGAAATCGATCCGCAAGAAGTTGTGGCAAGTTGATGCGTGAATTATTATGTATTTTGGCTATTTGGAATTTCGGAAAACGTGGGGCTATCTACGGTATATGTATTTTATTTTATTTTTCTTGCAGGTGGAAACCAGTTCCATGCAGATCGAGATTCCGCCGAAAGTGTCCATAGTATCCGTGGAAAAACCGAAAGAGAAATCTTTGATACTCGAAGCCACGCCCAAAGGGATCGTCAAGACGCTGCCGATCATCGACATGGTCAACCCTCCAGCTCAAAATGACGTGATGAAATCCAGGACTATTGTGGATGCAGTGATGAAACGAATCCACGCCTGCACGTCGAAATTGGCTCCAAGTGTCGAATCGACAGCGTTGGAAAAGGAGGAAAAAGTCGAAAATGATCCCCCGGGTCGAGGCAAGGTTCAAGATCGTCTGCTCAATAGCTACAGGAACTTCATGAAGCAGCGGATGGGAGATCGTCCTCGGCCCCTCTGTAGGATCATCAAGGACGAAAGGCTGTGGCAGGATGAGGAGAAACCGGAAGTGGAGCCGTCTCCCAAGGATGGGAAAGAGAACAATGCTCCTTTGATGGTGGAAATCAAGGGAGATGACGGAGTTGTTCTTCAGGTATTATTTTTTTCTGTGGAATTCATTAGTGGGAGGCTTTTCCAACAGAAGAGGGATAGAGCAAGCACTGAGAATTTTTGCTATCTTAATTCAATAAAACCACACCTCACATGCTTTTTTTTTAAATGTCCTTAGCAAATCGTTTTTTTTCTCTCTACCTCGCGACCTCAAAATTTTCGAAGACAATGAAGGAGAGGAAATTGTTAATGTTAATGATTTAGGAAAGGAAATGAGTAACTGTAATTGTCACATAAAATTTTTATTATAAGTTTTGTATGCTGCAGACTCGTGCAATGTTGTTCCTGGCACTTGCCATTTTCTTAGTAAAGCGAAGAATTGAAGCATTTTTTGAACCGAAATTTTTCAGCCCCGACTTTTTATTCGCAAAATTATAGTGAAAAATTGTAGCTCTAGTTTCCGTAACTGAAAATCTCTCCGATTTCATTTTTTGTTCCCTTTGAATTTGACTGTAACAATAGCAAGAAAACTTGACGTAAGATTTTGAGACTTGCTGTTTTATTAGATGAGATGCTAATTTTTTTTACTTGCCAATTTAATATACGGTGCAGTACAGTACTTATATCTCGTTACAACGAAGCATTTGGGACCTCTAAAAATATTAGTCATGACAAAAATTCATGGAAACGAAGTTAAAATAACATTGTGAATATATTCGACAGAGACCGAAGAAAAATAAGTTCGTTGTAAGCATTAATTCGTTACGAGATTTACTGTACTGGTTCTCTGGATAATCTCTTCTCTGTGAGACATGTTTCTCTGAAGAGCATCAAGTGTATTGCGTGTTTTATCTGATATCAAATCAATTCGAATTTCTATTTAAGGGATCGTCAATTGAAGAAGTTTGGGGATGTCTCGTGGATGCAGTCCAGAAGTCCCGTGAACGATTTGGAATGCCGATTCTTCCTCGTGATTCGCTTACGAAGCTTTATAAAAGTGGCATTGATCAATCGTCTCTCAAACGGTTGATATCTCAGCTGCCTGAGAAAGACGCCAACCGGGCGAGGCATGTGTTCAGTTTTCTCAAGGATGGCAAGAAACGTTATGAAGCTGTTTTTGGATCTGCGCGATCTGATGGAATCTCGTGTTTGAATTACGAACCGTGAGTTTAAAAAAAGAATAATTCAGGTGGAATCGCTATATCTCTACAACGATCATGTCTGCCACGATTTTCTCTGTGGAAAATCTAACGACGACATTCTTGACGCACTTTTGTTGAACCTCTCTAAGTCGAAATTCAAGGGACCAGGGAAAAAATTCGACTGAGGGAGGTTTCAACTTGGAGAGGTTTTGAAGACAACAGGGAAGAAGAAAAAATTTTGGAATGAAGTATTGGGGGAATGTGACTACAACTCTGGGAAAGGGCATATATTGATCCCTATATAAGTCAAAACGAGGTTAAAAAGAGATTCCTTCTCTTCTCTCCAAAGAAAAACTCTTGAGAAATTTCTCCCCAAGGATTAGGGATTACAGATTAGGAAGATGCACTGGAAGGAAGGGGTTATTTCATGTGTTGGGAGATTATTTCTTTCACTTTCTCTCATGCAGTAGCCTAACCCATGAAGGAATTCCAGGGACAGGAACTGTAGGATAAATAGTGCAGATATTTATAATTTATCATCAGTTGGTCTGTGTCTTGGTGGTGGAAAGGTGTTTTGGAAGATGGGTCAAAATCAGGGTGTGAATATTTGTGCACCAATTTTCTTTGCTAATATATTCTTATTTATATTCTAGGTTTAGTTTTTTCTCAGTAGAATTGAATCATAGGCTCATAATTAAAGAAGATACATTTTCCTTGCCAAACTTTCCACAATTTATTCAAGTGTTCTTTATCTTGATAAGTTCATCAGAATCACTCTCTCTGCATATGCACTTCATCTGTTTTCCAGCAGCTGATTGTTCTGCAATCCTGCATGTAAAAAATTTTTTTATTCATTCAACTGAAATTTGTTGCTGATCACTTTTTTTTAGCATTTTTCCACAGCTCTCATAATCGATACTTTTTCATTGATTGACAGTTTTTTAGCTTAAGCCCTTTCCTTGACATGGTAAGGCAGTAGACCACTTTCACTTATTCTGACTAAAGAAAAAGGTTGAGGGAGAAAAATTGCGACATAGTTTTTTGGAAACAAAATTAAAATTCCAACAGAAGCTATTTTTATTGAGTTGGAGAGGCACAAAATGCAGATTATTGCTCTGGTGTGTTTAAAGAAATAAAAATAAAAATCTACATTTTTGGGGGTTTTGTGAAGTAGAAAACAGCATGTTTGCTTTTTTCAACAGTTTTGAAAAGTTATTTTGGGAAAAATCCAAAATTTTATTTTTTGGTGAGAATTTATGATAAAATCCAAGTGCAAGTAATTCACCTACGCACTGATATGAAATTTATTTCCATGTGTCACTTTATTATGTGCAGTCTTGTGTTCTGAAATTTGTTTCAGCTACATTATTCATATGCTTTTCTGTGCTAAATTTTTCTAGTTATTCAATTACTGCAATGGTCTATTTTATTTACTAGTAGCTTTTAAAAAAATTTCATTTTCACCTGACTTGTATCCATACAATATGCAGCAATAACTTATTCTGATTATAGTTGATGGTCTTGGATTTTTATATTAAATGTTCAATTGTCTTTTGCATTCATGGAATGAATTGAATTCTTTCTTCCCTATTGAAGTCTATGGGAAAATCTAATTTGGTTAGCAAACTTTGGTCTGGAACTAATTAAGTTTGTTACCCAAAGGTACATGTATTTCTGGGGAATTGTGATCATTAATGCTTCCTCATTTTTTGAAAAAGCTTTCCTAAATTTTGTTTTCTGTGCTATGCTTTATTCTACCAGATCCTTGATCTGTTTCTAAAAGCAATTTTCTAAATGTATTGAGGGATTTTTTGACGCATTCATCATTTAATTTTGAAAACGAAGAAACTCTGATGTTACATTTCACTGATGACTTTTTGTTTTCCTTTTCTTTTGTTTTCGTCTCACAGTGGCGTGAAAAGACCGAGGAACCCGTTTTCGTGGTTGTCTTCTGTGCATCGTCCCCGGCCAGACATCTCCGATTGGCGTCCTCAAAATGGCGGCAAAGCCATGTCCTCCAAGATGGCGCGAGCAATGGCCAAACGCCTTCGCAGTCTACCTCTGAACAGTCGTTACTTGT